AAACACTTTTGTCAGTGGCAGCACTCCTGCCTCAGACAGAAGATCATGGGTTCAAAGCCAAAAATAGAGTGGATGTTTGAGTAAAGTCAAACGCAAACACAAAAAACTTTGACCCAGTTTGAACAAAGTGAAATTGAAGGATCAACAAGCCTGCTCTCAGGAGGTAAGTCCCTTGCTCAAATGTTTTTATGAGGCTGTGTGCTATAAATTTTCTCTTACCTTCAACCACAAAGCCGACTGCCTGGATTTCCAGAGCTTTCAGGGAGACAGAGACTCCTGTGGACCAAGAGGATCAGCTGTGCTCATCCCGAGCACATCAAACCAACCATGTGGCTGCCAGGTTGCTGACATTATAGTAGTGACTACAGTGGCTGTTCAGTGCTCAAAACTACGTGGTGAAAGGCAGTCTATAACTGCATAATTCTTTGTGTATAAATATAGCTTAGATGGCTCATCGACACCTTTAGTTACCTGGCATTCCATTAATATTAACAATGGGGCTATCAGGACCAGAGGAAGGTGTAATGACGACCGATCATAACCCCAAATCACCCATAGTCATCATTATACCTGAACTTGTAATTACAACATTATTTTTGGAAAAGAGAACACATAGCCAAAACTGACTGATAATATATATTCTGAGCAATGTAGTTCAGTGTCTGTCTGAAATGCCTTTGTCGATTATTCTCAGCCTTGAAGGAGACCCTGGAAAGTTAGACCAACTGATGTCAAGGACATTTCAAAGAAAAAGGCTTGAAATGAGAAACTCTCTGAAAACTGAACTGTAATCTTCTGACAGTTATCTCAAGACAGTGAGCATGACAGGAAAAAAGAATGTAGGCTGAATGACAGACATGTTGTGTTTTCCCCTTTCAAGAATACACAAACTTAAACAGAACAAACTGCAAGCCCATCAATTTCCAGTTTTGATTGAAAGGGCAACAAACTTGCTTCCAGGAGGTTGGTCCCTTATTCATATATTTTCAAGAGGTTGCATGCCTTAAATTTTCTCTTTTCTTCAATTATAAAACTGGCTACTTGGGTTTCCAAAGCCTTCAGATTAAAAGGAAATTACAACCCTATGTGTACTAGTTGGTAAAAGCAAGGATCACAACTGAGATAATTTCTCATCATCCTCGCACATTAGGTAAAAAGAAAAGGACTCTTTCTTTGCTGGAAAACAAGTGAAACCATGGTTGATAAGAAACAGGACAAAGGTCTTTCAGCCTCTCAAAGTAAACTGTTCACCTACAAACATCAGTGCTACTGGAATCAACCAACATAACAACTACAATGTCCAACTGTCTACTTTTGACAGAACTCAAAAATTGATGTGTATATTTTTATAACTATTATATTTTTTGGATTCAGCTCTCTTTTCTAATCTGTATGCTTGTCTATTGTATCATTATTTCTTTTCATGTTTAGTAACTCATAACTATAATTAATAAACTCACTTTATCATGAACTCACAAAAGCCTGGTTAAAATGGCTCCATTTAGAACATAAATCCAGATATTAAAAGAGAAAGGCATCAACAAGGAAAGGGATTTTCAAATTAATCTTGGAGACCAACCAAGGGTATTCCAAGTTGGAATCATAATAAATTTAGGGATCATAACACAGGAACTGGTTGGAATAATGGTCAGTTTACCGTTTTGCAAAGTATATGGTTGCATCTCAACCAACACCTCTGTCACCAGGTATACATCCATGTCAGTCCTGTTAAACACGAGTCTGAGGTATCACTTGGTTACAAAAGATTAAACATCACCAGCAAAAGCCAGCAACACATTCCTCACTGATATAGTTTTAGAGATTAAAATTTTTAAAAAAAGATTTTTTTTACTCTGAATATAAACTCTGCAAGTGTTACAAATTACCAGGATCCCATTAAATTGCAAAGAAACACACAGAATGTAACTGATTTAAACAACAATCCCCAAGTTAATATGTGCGTCATAAACTTGTACTCCTAGTTATATCAAGGCAATAAGATGGGGAATACTGACACATGGTCTGTTGCTTTAATCAGCAAACAAACTCAAATTCAAAGGCTTAGCTATTTGGGAAGGGGCTGAACAGAATTTGAGGTGCTTGCAGACAATGTTCTATGCCTTAATGATAGGGCTCAAGAAACAGAAGACAATCAGGTTTAGTTATTCCTGGCTTCATCGGTGGGGGATTGGGAATTTATTGATTGGGCGTTGGAGAAGGAATCTGTAGAGGGAAGGATAAGGCCAGTGATTTCTTTAATTGGGACCAGTGAGAGGTACATTTGCTTTTCCTGATTCAACATTCAAGTACAAATATTTCTAAAACCAACCATGTTGTTTGTGCATGTGCACTTTCTGCATACAGTCTGCATCAACAGGATAATTCAGTCTTGCAGTGATGGCTTACAACAGGCAGCAAGTCCTATCTTTGTGCATACAAAGAGCTTAATGGCTGTTACAGGCATGGACATAGCACAATAACTTTTTTTAAACCAATATGACAGGCATTGGACATCGGACTTGAAATGAACATGCACTTCCAGCCCCGTTTCTAAGTTTTATTTAAGCTAAAAATTAATTTAATTATCCGAAAAAAACAAAGGATTTATATTTCAGTCACACCGTCCATGGCTTTAGGATGTCACAAAGTGTTTCAAAGCCATCAAAGCACTTTTGAAATGCAGCAACAGTTATAAAATGCAACAGCCAATTCTCAGAAACAGTCAGGTGTGGTAACGATCAGATAATCTGTTTGTAGTGCTGTTGATTGAAGGATAAATATTGGGCAGGACACTGGGGAAAAATCACCTGCTGTTGCTTAAAACAGTGTCATGAGATCTTTAATCTCCCCTAGGTCGGGCAGACGTGGCCTCATTACAACGTTTCATTTGAAAGATGACAACCCTGACATTATTGCAATCCGTTAATATAGACTGAAGCATCACCCTAGATTTTTCTGTTACATTGAACAATACATCTTCAGCTCTGAAAATTTTCACTTGTTCATCAATATGGTGCAACACTGGGGACTAGAATCTTTTCCCATTTCCAGAACCCAGTATCAAGATGAAGGACTCTCGGGTCTCAAGCAATAAATCCAGCTCTGTGCTACACCAGGGAAATGCCTCAGTCGCATAAACAGAGCACTCACTGCTTTAAACAATGTGATATTTTTGTTTCCTACCAAACAGCATCTCTGTGGAAACTTGGAAATTGCCAAATTATATTAGTGGTGTGGTCAGGGTTCTCCTGCCAAACACGGGAAGATGATCTTCACCCTGAATGAAAACAGAGTACGTGCAACCGTAGTCGCAGAGTTTTAAAAGGATCGTTTACTATCCTAGGATTTTACTAAAGCCCCATTTCATTGATTTTGAGGACAAAAATCAGCAAATGTGCCAAAGAATATAACGTTTCAAATATTGAGCACCAAGCATCCTCATTACAGGGATGCCACTCACCAAATGGATGTATGTCGTACTTTGTGATCTGAGTTGTAGTGACTACATCAGGATGCAATGTTTTACCTTAATCAGATGCTTCATCTACTTACCACCGATACAATAGTAGGTAAGCTATCCCTCATTGTAAGGAGAAACTTTGTTGAATCCCACTCCTGGTCACAAGGTAATAAATATACTCCATTAATCAGAATGATTGTGAACTGACAGTGGTCAACCTTCCCAGGGCTGTTAACAGCTCTGCGGTGATAGATCATTAGTGATTTCCAGACACAAAAAGAAAATTAGGCAGGAAGTAATCAAAAGACAACAAAAATATCTCAATATTCAGATAAGTTCTACAAGTTCATAAACTCACTGCGTGAAACCTGAAATCTCAAGCTTGTCATAATTACTCAATTTTTGATTTTGTGACTTATAATACATTATTTATGCACAACAGAATGCAGATTTCATAACTAGTAGTAATCGCTGGCAGACTGCTTGTTTCTGTACCCACTATGATATTTCACGAGGGAACTAAACATCCTCTAGCTCTCTCTTACCAAAAAAAGACAAGAAGTGTAAAATCAACAGCAAGTCCTGGAGGTAAAATTGGGGGAACAGAGAAACTGAACAGTCCAAAGAGCTCTGAAGAGCAGGCCGTGTTATGCTTCTTTCATACACACTCACCAAATGGTTGTGCTTACACCTCAACCCATCCATTACTGTACAGACAGCCTAATACTTTACTAAAAGAATAGATAGTGTAAAGTTGTAAAAGAACACTATTCAACATGCAACATCTGGCTAAATTGTACAACTTCAAAGGGGAGTAAGCCTGCACTAAAGCAGATCATTCTCAGCTCATCATGCTCTTTCATTAAACTTCTTATTATATCATCCTGCAAATGAGAAATACAGAAGAAATTAATTTTCAGTGACCATATTTGTGGTGATTATTTTTGCAAATGGGTTTGGCTTGAAGTATTTTCATGCTCAGTTCGTGATGATGAAAGCTGCATGACTTGGACTTTTTCTGCTTGAACAACTATTCTGTAATCACAGCTTTTCAGTCATTGCTTGATGCACACAAGGTCAGGCTCTACTTCTCAACTCCTGCATAAACAAATCATACATGTCTAACTTTTCCATATTGTATTAAAAGGTCATCCTCACATTCTGGCAGAGGAATGCAAATATCAGCCTTTTCACCAGCTATTGAGATATTGGACACAGTCACGATTCATCTACAGGGTAGGCAGAAAATGATTTTGGGTTCGCATCGAACCTTCAGATAGGCAAAAATGCAACCTGATTCTGGAGATGTAGATCATCCAACACCTCAGCTAAAGTGATGATGAAGATTATCTGGAATGCACTGGTTCCCAATCACACCAAAGTCAGACTAGGTCTTAGAGACAAATTTATGCTCCAAGAATAGCCTCAAAGCACACTAAGTATTAATGCATGTAGAGATGATTCATGACGCATAATTACCAGCTAATTTTATAACAATTGGTGTTTGAGAGTTGACATAAATGAAGAACATGCAACTTACCCAGCCAGCTTCTGCTCAAATAAACAGACACAAAGACAGGTGGGACGGTGAAGAAATCTACCACAGAATTCACTTCCAACCAGAACCATAATTTATCATTTGCTGCAATAAACTGAAAGAGAAATGAGAGTATATTACTTCAACGTTCCCTTCCATGGCAGGCACATTCAGCTTTGCCTGACACTGTCAAAATATCAACGTACTATACATTCTTAAGTTTCTGAGGTTAGGCATTTTATTAATATTTGAATCAATGTAATGTGATGAGTCGTGAATTGTTGAATCTCGGGTGACAGAATGGTCACGTGATAATTCTTTAAGGTCTTAGCTGCCTAAATTCAGAACCTGTAACTTCTCAATGAGGAGCCTTGAGAATGAAATTCACAGACAGCTGGGTATCCCTAAATGTAGAACCTCATTAGTTTTACCTCCATGCGCTCTGACACATCTTTTTTCATTCATTTTTCAATAAGCATTTTGGCAAAATCAGCAATGTCCCGTGAAATGGAGACCTTGGGGCAACTGTCATTATTGGAACCATTACTGGAAGTTAAACCTGGAGATCACAATCTATACGCAGTTGCTGGTGACACTGGACAACTGATATGAACTGAAAGAAAGTTTTTCTTTAGAAGTTACTCTGCTTTATTTTAACTTCCTAAGCACATCAGATTAGACTGCAATTTTGCATTTACTTCAAAAAGAACTCTCAACTGTGATCCTTCACAACAACTGAATGAAAATAGGCATGGAAAATCAGTGAAATTCCAGCATAGGAGGCCAGTCTGAAAATCTGTTCAGTAATTTCACAAAGCAGTGGCCATTTTTTGAAACTGTCCTGTGGCAGCTATGCCAAAGGGCATTAGTGAGGCTCAACAGACCCCATTGAGAAACAACATATTCCTCCCAAGGTTCTGTTTAGTATTCAGATTTGTCCCATCCAGAACTTCAGTATAGAAAATATTTGTTTCGCTCTGTAAAGACATGATAAATCTTCTCATAATATAAATATTTAAAGGCAGTACCATTTTATATGCTGTGATCTTTCCAACTTATTGCATTGTCCACACAACGCAGTGTAAAAGTCCTTACACTCTTTTCTAAAGTATTTTCTATTCCTGAAAATAGCAATTGATAAATTATTAGACAAGAATATTTAGAATTCAGAAGCGATGGAGCCATGGCTGATAAAAACTTGAGTGTCAGATCAGCAAAGTTCTAATCGAATGGTGGAACAGACCAAAGAGGCTGAACGGCCTGCACCAGCTCCAGTAAACCTCAGTGCATATCTTTGAGTTAAAGATAGTTTTCACCCATTTTCAAGCACAGCTTTATGGGAAGTAAAGATCTTAATTACTCTTTGACTGAACAATCCAGACTTGTGATCAATTGTTCGTCTCTGCTTGTTTCTTATATTAAACTCTAACTGATTAACTCTACAAAGGTCATCCTTTGATAACTCTGCAAAAAGTTCCCAAGAAAACCTCTTATTAATCAGACTTCTCTTGCATTGTTTTAATGGCAGCATTGTTAGTCAAGGTAAAGAAAATTTGAACAGATTGACATTTCAGGATATCCTATTAGGCACTCAATAAGATTTACACTTTTCTTTCCTTCACAGCTGAGCAGTCTTTTTTTAAATGCAAGATAGACATAATCTCTTTGAACTCATCTTCACTGTATAAATACATGTCACTTTTACTAAGGCTAGTGAGGTGTTTAACGTGGCTGTTTATTGCCACTGCACGCACACACCACAGACATCAAGTGTAGCTTGGAAATTTGAAGTATGTTTTGTTGCTATAACTACAACATTGCCTCTAAAGCACACAGGCTGCAGGCAAACTATTTGTCCAACTGACAAATTGAAGGGAAAAAAGGGAAAGGTGCGCTTTCTCAGTTATTTTTTTGGTTGGAAAATGTTAATCTTGTAAGCAAATAGAGCTCACTCACACAAGGTTGATGGAAGCAGGCCTCTTGATTGCAGCCTCTTCACAGCATCTAACCACTGTTTTATATGGCATGAAGCATAATTTTTGATTAAATTGTGAATTTGAGCATAGAACAAAAAGGGACATCAGAATAACACAGTGCCAACCTGAAAGATTGCAAATGCTAACATGCAAAATTTAGCCTGGATCAAACTAAGAATTCCTTTCGTACAAAATTTGTAACAAGATTCATTACTCATGCAGACAATGTATAAGGTCATCCTTTATTCATGAACTTAACCACGTTAAAATTCAGAAAGGGATATGAAGCCAGGAACAGTTTGATGTCATGGGCATGGACATTACACGGTCCATTTAGAAAATAAATACGTGACAAAACATAATTTTGAATTTTAAACTGAGTTTTAAAATCATTTATAAAAAAAATCTTAAGTAACTGTACATTTCTAACTTAAACCAAAGGTGAAGTAGAGGCAGAACCTCATATGACCTGATTTCTGTAATTACAAAGATTGTGAGGACAGCACGACAGAGATCATTAAAAAGACCATCTTAACTATTCTAATACAATGCTGTAAAATCAAGACTGATTCAAATCTGAGAAACAAGAACTTAATGCACACACTTATCCTACAGCTGATCAAGGTTGAGCTTATGCATTAATACTGCATTATTCTGCATACTGCATTTTTGTTCCATTCCTCTTGTGATCTGTTGGAAAACAAATACATAAATTGTAGATGATCTGGCATTCTGGAGTCTGCTTTGGGACAATTTAACTTCAGGCAGAATTGTTGACTTTGAATATGACGTCCTCATTTGGCTTCAAAAGGTTGGGCTAACCCCTAAATTAGGTGTAAGATGCAGTAACAAAACATTCCACTTCAACAGATTGAGAATACCAGCCCAACGCAGTATATCAACTTACACTGGAGGTGGCTACAGAGGAGCCTGCAGCCACAAAATCGCAACCATCGTACCCACACCACAGTGACCCACAACTATGTCAGATGGGAAAGAATGGGGTTCTCTCAAAGGAAAATGAGGACAAATCGTAGAGATTTAGCTCAAGCTCTGACATAGCATTGAACTGAGTAAGACTAACACGTGCTCAACCGTTGAACTTTATTTACACACTCGTGCCCCCTCCAGAGATTTCAGTGAGACAAAACGCACAGCTCTTACTCAATAGTACACTCCTACACCTGTGGTTTTGGTCATTGTTTGTTGGAGGAATTAGTAGGCAACAAGCAAAATGGTGGGTGAATCTAAGTAACTCCCACCATTTCAGCCTGCACTCCCTCTTTTACTCACCTAGTGCTGGCAGGATTGAATAACAGAATAACAAATGTTAACCAAAAGACTATTACAATCATGTATTCCTATTTTACTTTGTGAGATAACTCACTATCACAGATATCTTACTAAATCAAGACAACAGAAAAAAAAGACACCACATGTGTTTTACTGCACATTGAAGGGGTGAACAATGCCTCACTGGTTAGTACTGCTGCCTCACAGCATTGGGTTTGATTCCAGCCTCGGGCGGCTGTCTGTGTGTGCAGTTTGCACGTTCTCCCAGTGTCTGTGTGCGTTTCCTCCGGATGCTCCAGTTTCTTCCCACAGACCAAAGATGTGCAGATTAGGTAGATTGCCCATCCTAAATTGTCCCGTAATGTCCAGGGATGCTCAGGCTAGGTAGATTAGTCTAAGTAAATGTGGGCTTATGGGGTTAGGTCTGGGTGGGATGCTCTTTGGAGGGCAGGTGTAGACTTGAAGGGCCAAATAGCCTCTATCTGCACTGTCGGGACTCTGTGATTCTATGATATATTCATATTGTGTACATAAATGTTCACTGATTTACCTTAGCGTGTACGAAGACTGGACGAAACTAACAGTAATTCGTAATCAGTTGGAATCAAATTATCTTAATTGCTCTGTTTAAAACCAAAAGCCTTCCTAGACTACCTCTGTGTGATTACATTCCAAATGTAACTTGTGTCTTAAGTTGATTCTCACCCGCAGTCCAAAGTAGAGTAGGAAGAATACATTGAATGCCATGTCAATCTGCAACGTGAAATCTTCATAGAAATTCTGACAGGATTCTATTGGGCTAGTAAAACACAGGAAAGGAAGGTTAATGATGAATCAGGACAAAAAAAATGTACAGAAACATAAGCCATAATAAAACATTTCCAGTCCTCATTATATTCCTAAATAGCAACAGGCTTTAATCCTACAATTTTCAGGCTAACTGCTTCGATCTTCGATATTACATATACAGGAGGAGAGAGCATCCAATATCAAGGAATGCCAAAAAAGAATCAGGAACATATGGGATTTGCTGTAAAAGAAGGGACATGCACAAAAAGCAGATATCAATCATAATTTTGTTGGTCCTTGATTAACCCTTAAAGGACTGAATACTTAAAACTGATTTTAAAAATTATAAAAATATACTAAGTCTATTCTTAAACGTAGAATGTACACAGCACCCTTAACATGGAGTGCCTCAAAACACAAATACACTATACCTTTACACAAACAGTAGGTGAAATAGCAGTGCTTTAAGGGTTACTAAATTCATGCAGGATTGATTTTCTCTGTATGAGAAGCAGCCATAGCAAATGCTAAGATATCGAATTCTTCATGTGTATCAGTATCAGGCACCAGTTATTAACAAAATATGTATTTTGACACATGCAGTTTATATAAAACAAATTATAATCACAACTCCCTGTAACCTTACTTTCAAGGAACCTTTTAATCTGCCCATCAGTAAATAAATTGCAGGCCAGTAAATTATACAGTAAAAGGCTCTCCAAACTAATGTAAATGTTTAGAAATATTCAACTCAAAGCTGCACATGCATATTGACAAAGTCACTTAAATGCACTACCAAATTGATGTCAGAACAAAAAGTAATGCTTTAACTGAATAGAATTCCACTATTATGAAAATATTTTACCCAACACTTAAAATATATAAACAATAATTTTTATGTTTTATTTGCTTCCTGGTGATACACTGGAGTTAAGTATGTTTTAGGAATACACAGCTGATTTATTTGGGAAGCAAAATTAAATACCCAAATTAGACACATTGAGAAATGAAAAATGCTGGAAATATCCAGCAATGAATAGCTGCCATGAAGGCCCCAACTAAAACATTAACTGGCCTTCTGTCTTTCTCAGTGCAACTTAACTGCCTTATATTTCCAATACTTTTCCATTGTAATTTTGACAATCTGAACTAACATTCTTCCAAATCTATTCCCTAACCCTCTTCACTGTCTACTCATTTGGGAGCTCTGAATACACTACTAGAGTTCCTTCGACATTGCACATTATAAGTAAATCACAGTTGGTCTTAAAATGGATATGCTATACAAATAGACAAATCGCATTAATTAGTTGCTAAAGTAAATCTGTTTTAGCCTGATCACACCCAAAAGGTGTTCAGTTGAATTTCTCTAAATATATTTACACATATATAAAAATATATATACAGTCACTCAGAAATCATTTAATTTTAAAAACTTGGTTTAGAACTAGGTACATTGGACTATACTGACCAATTTTAATTCGAGGCTGTGCAGCATACCCAGCATTTTAAGGATGTTATACAATTGTAATGAAGTGTGATGTCTGCAACACTTTAACCAAAATGCACTTTTAAACATTTTATAAAGTGATCGCCTATATTTTTGCTCACAGTTAAGTCATCTGATGTTACAAATATTAGTTCCTATAATAGTCAAAATTCTATTCACCCCAAGATGGAGCAAAACTCCTTAAGATAACAACATATAATTATTCTTCGGAATTTAGTTGCTATTTGGTTGAGGACTTTAGCAGATTAAAACTTGCCTGCTAGCTTCAGGCTGCAGTTCAGAAGCATATGTTATTTAAAGGTTATTTTGCATCTATAACAAAGTATGATCACTCGAGTAATTTCTAATTCCATTGAAGCATTATTTTTATATATTATTGCGAATAAATGTTTTCCTGACATTGATGCTTGAAGTGTCAGAGGGTAAAGAGGAGCTCATTACTTTTGGCTGAATAAAGAAAGCAGTTCTTCGAAGCTGCTTTAATCTAAGGTAAGATATTAAGAAAGGAAGGCTAAAATGGTTGGGAGGGGTAGGTGGTTCTTTATAGGAACAAAAATGAGAAAAATCACTGAAATTATGATAGTTTTAGATGAAGGAAGTTTTTATTAAGACAGAGATAAACAGGAGAGAAAGGAAAAAACACGAGCAAGCAAAAAGCTTGGATGCATAAAATGGCTGGCTTTAACCAGAGAAAGTAAACATTCTGTTCAGTTGCTTTCATTCACTGTTGCCATGTTAGTGGTATCCATCAGTTCAAGGTCTATTGCGCAAAGAGGAAAGGGAAATCAATACATTCCTTGGAGGGAGTGTTGGTTTTGTAGCTACGGATTCTATGCACAACAGATCAGTAATGGTTTTTCTCTAATCTTGTGAATCTCTTATAACATGCAAGCATTGCTATGAAAATAACTAAATCAATGAGCTAGAGTGGCACTCTGGAATCTAATAATCTATCCTCAAAGCACAAAAGTTGCCATCAAGTAGAGGAATGATTTGATTTTGCACACTAATATCAACTGATCGTCTCAACAAATCACCACACAAAGCTGCAAAATCTCAAGTTGAATTACATAGCTTTGAGGCACAAAATACAGCTATTTAAAAATCACTGAGAATTATTTTCACTTTTGAAAACATGACTGTTTATAACTGAACATTGTGTCTGTAGAAAATTCTTACAAATGCTGCAATACACAGCCCTGCTAACAGGACAGTTGGGAACTAGTAACTCAAAAGCCGACAAATGAAATGTGTAACCAGCAGGTTCTCACATGATCTCAATTTAAACAAAGCACAACTAATTCTCCAATCAAATCACTCTAGGTTTTCTAAGCTCTTTAATTCCATCAATAACATATTTACACAGGTACCAGACAGATATTTTAAAGTTTCTCTGAAGCAAAGTTTGTTAAATAAAGATGTTAAAGCAGTCAAATACTTTTAATTCTGAAAGTGATAGTGCTCAGTTATGGATTCTAAAAGTTCAATGACATCCTGTGAACTATTGCAAGAGGGCCTGATTAGGTGAATTTGCTGACAGGAGTTTTCGTACTATTGTTACAGCAGTAAGTTACAAAAAAAAACAAAACAGGAAATCAAGTTAAAACAGAGTATAGTACTAGTAAATTTAGAAACAGCACAGAAGTTGAATGCAAAACTGTTTTCAGTCTGTACCACATGACTTCATCAACTCAAAGAACACAGCTGTCGGCACAGTGGGAGCAATCAAATCAGTTCTTGGTATCATGATTCATTTGGAAATAAACTTCTGCATTGTGAAAATAAAAGCATTAGGAATGGTCCAATGTATTGAATATGACTCTCCCTAAAGCCTGTTTCTAGGTGGAACAGGGCAAATCGAGAATTCGTTATAATTTAAATCACTTTAAGTATCAGTGCATGATCTTCTACTCTCAGTAACTAGCAGGACTGATGAGCCCTAAGCCAACATTAATCAAGATGCATGTTTCTGGCATACTGGTAGTGCCCCTACCCCTGAATTAGAAGGCCTGGATCCAAGTTTTGCTTGTCCAGAGATGTGTCAGAAAATGTCCAAACAGGTTGATTAAAAATACCTACGCATTTTAAATCATTTTAGATAAAATTCCACATGCTCATGCGTTTTTCCATTTCACCACTGAAGTAAACAGTTTTGACTTTTATCAAGCTTTTCAATTCCCGTTATTATTTAAACAACCCTAAATCTTCCAAATTCAAGGAAATATACATAAATTTTCTGTAACATATATCTTCATAATTTAGAACGTGTAGCCTAAGAATTTTTACATTGAATCTGTGCTACAACCATTCCAAGGGGACTTCGAATTTATCTGAAGCTGATTTTTGGAGTGTAAAACACTCAAATATGATCCAGGATGATACAGTGATATTGAAAATTGTATCAACTTTCCCCTTCTTCCGTTAGTAAAATTGAATAAATCATTAACCTTAAAATAAACAATAACTCTAAAAATATTCATCCCCCATCCCCCCCATCAGGCAGTCCTTTTACACTCCTTGACTAAGAGCAAGTATAAGATTCTTTTAATTTTCTGGTTACTTTCCTCCTTTCTTTTTTTGCAATACCTGGCCTACAAAAGTCTTATACTCCCAAATCTTTATCATTATAAATGTCACAAATGGTGGAAGGAACATGTAGCTTTGATAATGGGAGGCCTAAGGGTCAGGATGTGGGTCAAAGGAGGACCCCTAACCTAGGGATACTCATGGGTAATGGTGGGGGCGGGGAGGACGACTTGGTGGATGTTTTGAGGAAAGAAGGTGATGATGGATCTTCTCTTTAGTTCATTTTAGTTTTCTTCAGCTCAGAATGCAATTCCTCACAGATAGTGAACAGTGAAATTAGGCAGAGGTTTTTGTAGGTGAAATGAGTTATTGTAGTGTTCCATGAATTGACTGAAGGCAACCCATTAATAAAGTCATCTGCATGAGAACCATCCTCAGTTGTGTTCTCCTCCTTGATGGAGACGTCCACGTGGCAACATATTCTCTCTCATGATTTCAAGGTCCCAGCAATACGGGAAAGTGAAGTGAGGTGTGAGGTGAAGGACATCTATTGATGTTTAAGGCAGGGATAAGAGAACTGCAATGAAAATGCTGAAGAGATCAATCCCAGCCATTTGTTCATATCTATCACCTCATGCACACAAAGGAGCTGGGATAAGTAAACCTTGCATTCTACCAGCTATGGTGTAGCCAAGTGTCGCTGAACTGTGGGACTACTTTATGTCTGGTCTGACACCTTTCAGCCCCAAGTGTCAAAGGTCACAAACGTAATCTGAACTTCCAGTCCAGGCTTGCAGAGACCTGGTGTCCTTTAAATCTAGTGCCCAGACCTTCAGCCTTAGAAGGTCCCCAGGTCCTAGGGTCCTTCTACCTTGACCCGTGAGATTTGCCCTTCTCCTCAAACATGCATATGTAACGAGCTGACATCATGTGATTGTACAAGGAAACCTGAGCCCAATCAGAGGTAACTCCTC